AAAAATATAACATATTTAATAAGATTTTAGGGTTAAATTATATTTACAATATCTGTAAAAGTTATTATTGGCACATATGAAACATTCAGAATATTTTGTTATTGTTATTGTTATTGTTATTCACAGAAATATGAACAAAAGACTGGTAGGTTAATCATTATGTATATATTCTAATGTCTATTCCTCATAGACATAATAAATGCTATAAAATACATTTTAAGAGAATAAACTCTGCACTCAGACACAGCTGAATTAATTTAAATATTGGGTTTACCATTTCTTGAATACCTCACTTAACTGCAAGCTTCAGTTTCATCATCTATAAAATAGTTACTGTGAGCATGAAATGAAGTAATACATGTAATGAATACTTCATAGTACCTTACACAATTTAAGAGCTCAAGTAATATTAGTTATTATATGATTATATCATTGGATTTTTTCACAGGATATAATAATAATATGCATACATTAATGCATACTTTCTTACTGAACAAAAACTATAGGATATATTTTCAAATGATTTTTTGAAGTGATTTTATTATGAAATTGTCCCTTTTTATTCTTTACTTATTTATTTTCTAAAACATCCTATTAGTCCAAATCACCTGCAACAGTGAGAGAGCAGCTACTCTAAGAAGCAGTAAGTGTATGGAAGGATAGAACCACAAGAATGGACCTCAACTCTAATACTAGAAGGATAGACAGAGTCAAAGGGAGAATTAAGGTAATGCTAAGGCAAAACAGAACAGCTGCTCTGCCTCCTGAGATGCCCAAAGACATACTCAAGTTGCCCATAGCTGCTCTTAGATTCAGCCTTTTCTTCTTCCTTCATGAATATTGCATAAACCATAAGCTTTTCAATTCCCAAAAAATAGACACGGTCACTACAAACCTCTGCCAGGCCATTAACAGTCCACAGGTAACATATGGAAACAATGAATAAACCACTAGTGAACTTGCCCAAAGGACGATCCAATTACCACATGTTGTGTAGACTCTGAAGGCAATTCCAAAAGAGGAGCTTAAACACATTTTTTTAAATGGAAGCATCAGTCAAATAAGTAAATAGCCATACAAGTTGGAACACATATGTGAATAAGCAAACTTCACCTGCCTGATTAAAATCTCTCATGAAACGCCAAACTTTATAAGATTCTTGTATTTCTTTCCAGTAACATGTTTTAAAATTTTGCTCTTAACACACTTTCCCCTTCTTGATTTTCTTATCTATCTTTCTTTCTCTTCTCTCTCTCCTTTATTTTTATTTTTATTTTTATTTTCTAGATTTTATTGGGAAATTGGGGGAGGGTAACAGCATTGGGGAATTGGGGAAGGGGAACAAACAAGTTGCTGTCCTCTTGCTCTCAATCTAGCTGTGGAGGATGTCGCTTCACTGGCCCATGTTGGTATTATCATTGCGCTCTTCCCAGCTGAGGCAGTCACTCACTGGCCATTGGATGGCCACTCACAGCAGCTCATGGCAGCTCACAAAAGCTCATGCCAGTTGCTGGCCAGCCCCACCGCAGCCTATGCCATTGCCGGCAACTCACGGCAGCCCAGCTCCAGTTCGAGCTGTTGTTCACCATCTTAGCTGTAGAGCGCAGTGTCACTGGCCCTAATGTGATATCCGAACCGGGGCCCTGATGCTCAAAGCTGGCGTCTCAAGCCAACTCTTAACCAATGCGCCACTCGGCCAGCCCTCCCTTAATTTTAATGTGTCCTCAACCTTCAATGGTAAACTTGATATTGAAGCCATTCAATGACAACTGACACTCTAAAGCCAACTGTGCTCTGGCCTCAATCTGGAGTCAGGAGGATGGGTAGGCCAACCCATTAATCATGGTCTTCAGTACTGAGACATTCTTCAAGTAGACTGCTGTGGAGATCTAAGTTATCACACAACACACATACAGTTACACACTGTAGAAGGCATAAAGCAAATGATGCATATTTGACTACATTTATGAGAAAGTTTCTTCCAATCCTTAAATGCTATGACTCTATGCCCTTCACAAACAAATTTCATCTTCTTGATCTCGAGTATGCCATTTGCACACAGCACACAGCCCATGCTGCCTACGTGAGTTACTGAATCAGAGTAGACTTTGCCAATTGGATCTCCTCACACGAGCATTTACCAGTGACAGCGATTGCTGCAGTCAAGAGATATATTTCAAGGAGCAAAGAGAAGAATATTGGTTCTCTTCCCACCTTTGGAAATTCTGCAGAATAGTTTTATTCTGATTAAGTGGTTCTTTCAAGTATATGTACTATTCCACTGTAACACTAGTGCAAGGAATCTCATCACTTTCCAAAAACGGAAAAAGAACTACAGTAACTCACTGTACACAAAAAAAAATGTCTCTACATCCAGAATCCTTAAACGTGAGAAATCCTAGGTTGGGAGCGAGTTAAAAGCTACATGGGAGAGTCAGTATATTCTATAATTTCAACATCATTAGAAAATCATAAGTAGAAATATATTGTTTTAAAGCTTAAAGTTAACCACTAGTGATGTATAACATACAGCTTTCACAGTACTTGATAAAAGACTAATGAAAATTTAGCAATAAAAATGTATCACAAAATTTGATATTCAAAAATAATATTAAAAAAATATTATAACCAGATCAAATAGAATTAAAGGGAAAAGGCATTTTTTGGGACAAAAAAGGGTTATTTTATGGTTAAATGCATAGATTGCTATAGAATTGGAGCAGTCAGAAATCTTTACATGTTGACTATCATTGCATCAAAGCATATTCAACAAAAATAGTGAAAATGCAAAACAAATTAACACAATCTCATAATATTAATGAGAGAATTTTTCATATCATTTTTGATATTTTAAAGATTAAGAAAAGAGGTGACTGATTAATATTGTTTTAAGTAAAATTGATTTAGTACCTAAAAATCAACTCCTTTCAAATTGCCATTAAACATTTATAAGCTTTCACCATAACTCAGGGCATAATAAAAATGTCAATAACATTGAAATCTGTACAAGCAACATTTCTGAACACAATTTGATACAATCAAAAATAAACAGTGAAGTTAAATAAAAAAACAAAGTCTCATTTGGAAATTTTAGTATTATCTTCCAAATAATTCTTAGCTTATAGAGAAAATCAGCAATATAGTTGCAGAATACTTAGCAAGTAATTATATAATATCATATTTCAAAAGCTATAAGTTATGGGCAAAGTTATATATGCAAAGGAAATCTCATTACAATAAAGGAAATTTTATTATTAAATAAGAAACAGTGAAAATAAATTAGTAAGAATTACCTCAAGGAGGTAAAAAAATGAGTTAAAAAATTAACCTACACAGAAGTGAAATTAAAATAAATCACAAATTAGAAAACAGAAATAAATAAATAAATCCAAGACTTGATATATTTTTAAATGAACAGTATATAGACTTCTTCGACATGTACCAAGGTCACAGTACGGCAAAGCAAAGCAAGTAAAACAATAAAAGACAGAGGAGGCTAAGAAGGCTACCAATGGGGAATGGGAAAGAAAATTAAACTGCAGATCAGTTTTTAACTGAAAATAGTATACAAAATCCATTCTAATAATTGTGCAAATCTTGATGAAAAGGATTCCTTTAGAGGAAAATGTAAACTATACAAACTTCCTTAATGGAAAAGCCACAATTTTCCTACCTGTTCATATGCCATTCTAGGAGAACCAGAGCCCAGAGCCATGCAGGAGGAGAGCTAAAACTGTAGGACCCGAAATTGTTAATCCCTGCCAGGGTGAACACCTAACCTCATTTGCTCAACTGCCATCTTCTCTGGGAGGACTTCCTTGACCACCTGTATTTTGCTTGGAGTCCCATCCCTCTCACGCTGCCCTGCACTTCCTGGATCCCCTTTGCTGCTTCAGCATTGTCGTAACACTGTCACACCATCTAACACGCCGAGAATCTTCTTATTTATGTCTTTAAAAATTATCTGTCTCCTTTTCCTTGTCCTACCTACATAGTTAAACATAAGCTCCACAGAGTAGAATATTTTGTCCGGGATGGGGGTGTATATTGTTGATTGTCAGACCATAGACAGAATCTGTCACATAGTTAGTATTGAATGTACACTTTTTAAATGAGTGAAAAAAAGAAAGAAAAGATGAGTCAGTAAGGAAATGAGTTATCACCTATGGAGAATAAACTTGATTATTCATATACACTTTGATTTGGGCACATGCAGACCAAAGGAGTTTTGGACTGCCGTGTGACAACAATAAGGCTGTGTATAACTGACCAGACACTTTGTTGATTCAAGAAAGGAGCTGACTAGAGTGAGAATGAGAAAGAGGGAGAGAGAGCAGTCTCATTTTCATGATTATTTTGCTCTTTTTGTACAACTGGAACCCATAGAAAAATCTCATTTATTATTTTTTTCAATCACAGAATCACTAAATCAAAGAACCATTTAAGTGTCCAGTGTAAACTACAGTAGCTCTTATTAGGCTTTCACATCCTTTCAGATCTGTCCCTTTAGAACACGAATTCTCAGTCTTAGATGTACATCAACTACAACTGTGGGTCTTCTTGTGTATTGGTTTTATTTTCTTCTTTAATACAAGGGCACAGGCCCCATCCAGCCCCATACGGTAGTTCTAATGTGAGGCCACGTTAAGAACCCACTGCTTTACCTTGTTCAATGAACACTACTCAAACCCATTCAAAGGTGTCCACAGGTTCCTCCTAACGGTATGCATAAGATTTTGCCCCTTTCTGTCAAAAATTTTCAAATCTGAAAAGAACTTCCCAACAACCAACTCCATCTGGCTCATCCAAAGCCGTTTAATTTTTAAGCCATTCACCACAGTTTTAAAGTTTAAAATTATGATTATACTTTCAAATTTTTCTGGATTTTTAAATGACTCACAAATTGTCATTGGGATTTTCAAGTTCGCAGTTTTTCCCCTGGCAATGCAAATTTGATCAAGGAACTGAAATCTTAAATTGAAGAAGATTAAGTCAAATACCTGCAGAGGTGCTTCAGGATGCTTTTCTCTCAGCACGGGGGCAGCTGGCAATTCCTGGAGGGCTTTTGATGTCTTCCTTTTGGCTTTTTCCATTTGAATATTGGTAAAATAGTTGACAGCAGCAAACTCAATCAGGGCGGAAAACACAAAAGCAAAGCAGACAGCTATGAACCAATCCATGGCCGTAGCATAGGACACTTTGGGCAAAGAATGCCGTGCGCTGATGCTCAGTGTCGTCATGGTGAGGACTGTGGTTATTCCTTCAAAGCAAAAGAGCAAAGAGACAAAATACTTTACCATTACTTCCATGCAAAACAAAACAAAGCAAAACAAAACAAAAAACCCTAGGGCTATGGTAAGGTGGGGGTAGCGAAGTTCATAATAACTCAAACCAAACCATCTTTGATGGAAGATTCTAATCCTAATGGTTCCATGAAATTAGCACAGCCCTTGGAGTGAGACAGACATGGTTTAAACATGGCTCTTCTGTTGCTGGCTCAATGTGAATTGGATTAAGTTATAAAAATGCACTGGGCTTCATTTGATACCTAACTACATATGGGTTTGCGAGAAAGGTTATAAGTATGTTAGGCACTAGCATACACTGGGTTGTTACTGGCATCTGAGCCAACACACCTGAGAAACTCAACACATACACACACCTAACAGCAAGTGCTACTTATTGAACCAATGATTCTCAACCAGGACTGGGAAATTGGCAGCACTGAAAATTAGATTATCAGAATTTCTGGGATAAACATGGCCCACGGCTATTGAGAATCACTACCAGAAAAAGCACAAATTATAAATCTTTCGCTGACTATTACCTACTGCATTAAAATAATAAATTTACTAGTTGTAGAAGACCTTAATTTATATAAAGTACTATAGGCATATTCCTGAAAAATAGATTTGTACAACAATTTGGCTTTAAACATATTAGACATCTACCACCCATCCATTTATGGTTGGGAGGAAAGTATTTGCAGCAAGACTAGGGGTACTTCTCTTCCATCAATAGGTTTCTGAAGAATATCACCTCCAGGTAAGCCTTCTCCTCAGCCTGGAAAAAGATTAGTTCCCATTCTCGATGGAAAAATTCCACTTGCCACTAGAACTATAGAGAAATGAGTTATTTAAGGATGCTAATATTTGTATAGTTGTCCCTTTCTGCATCTTTGCCTATCTATATATCTAATCCATGTTATCTAGTTAAGCTTGGAAATTTCTGTTGGGATTTACTATATCCATTTAAACTCATTCTATAGATCGCCAATGATGATGATGATGATGATGATGATGATGATGATGGTGATGATGATGATGATGATGGAGGCATGTAACTTTCTATTCCAATCCATGCCAATTCCTAAGTGAAAGACAAACAATACATGCTAAACTGAAGAGATAGTGAGCTGCATGCAACAATAAAGGAAAAACAATATTTTAATTTAGGGACAAATCGTATTATCTCCTCAGCTTGGCATTTAATTATATTCTGCCTTGTATTGTTTCCTAATTGTTCCATGTATGCAAGCCTTGTTTCCATAACTTGATTAGGTATATAGCCTCTGTGAGGGCAGACATGATTAACATTGTTTCCGGATTTACCATAATATATTACATAGTGCCAGGCACATGATAAATGCACAGTAAATAAAAACTCATTTTTTTTCAACTCCTCACCAATCCATTTTCTCTCCAGTCCCTTCTGAATTGTCAATGTTTAGAACATGAAAAATTAGAGCAACTGCACAGTGTATGAGCTATAGATCTTTTAAAAACATTCCATAAACTATACAGAGAAAGAAATATGAAAATTTGGTTGTATTCCTGTTTTTTTTTAAAAAAAGTTTCTGATAGAGTTAGCAATTTAGTAGTATAAAAATAGATTTTAAAATGTGTTTATTTGGCCAAACATATAGATACCTAAATATCTATGAATATGTGATATTGTGAATTTAGTAGACTTTGTTTCAGAAAAAGACTTAACAACTTTAAGGCCTCCATTTTAAATCTCAGAAAAATGGTAACATTTCCATGCTGTAAGATGTATTGAATAAACCCTAAATTAATTTTGAAAAATTTTAGCTACAAAGTTTGAAAATAAATCAGTTTTTCTTCTTATTCATAATAATTTAAGTTTAATGGCCTATTAAGTATTCAAAAATGTTCTACAACTGTGTTAGGTATATTGTTTCCAATAACATAGAAACTATACTGAAAGTACTTGGAAATAAAATATGAACAAACTAAATAAGACTACTACTCAGAACTCAGAAAATTCTACAGAGAACATAATGTAATAACCAACAAGGAAACTCAAACTCAAATATAAGCAACTTAGGATTCCCCGTGTTGCTTTGGACATTTTTTTTATAATAGAACGATTTTCCTGAGGACCAGAAGTAGGGCTCTTCATCTTTCCTGCTGCCATATGAAGAAATTACCTTATTAATGTTGAGTAAGCAGAATATCAATGTAATTATTGAGCCATGAATCCAAATATTACTTTTTGATTCTTAAGGGGGGGTCCATCACCAGGATCATGAAGACATTAAATGATGCTATGGACATCAATACAGAAAATACTGGATATGTGGCCACTTTCCATTTCTCTTTCATTGTTTAGAGTCAACTTGTTTTAAAGTGTATGAAGTATCCTGCCAGGTATTATGGTTCATATTTTATGACTGTCGGCAAAATTAGGAAAGTAATCATTATAAACAGCTGGTTAAGAGTTTGAAGTGACCATATTTTTAGACATTAAAAAGTTATCTCTGCCTGGAGTTCAAATTTGAAAAAACTCCTAGCATGACAGGAATGGGCTTATTCCACCTGTTTTTAGGTAGAGTATTTGGTTAAATAAATACCAACAGAATTGCAAACAGAAGCCAACCCTTCAAACAAGAAGCCACGCTTCCTCTGCATCTAGGAAGACAGTGCATCTGCTGTAAATGGCTTAGCTGGCATCTACCCTTGAAAACATTTCAATAACCATAGAATATTTTTGACACATTCAAATTTTGATGCCAGCCCCTGTTTTTAGAATGCTGAATATGCTGGCCCAGGAGCTGGGAGAGGACATGTAAGAATAGGCTAAGACTGTACACAAGAGTAAAATTTTGGCTGCCCACTCTTAGAAAATGAACAAGTAATGATTTAGATATGCCATGCCAGCTGGCATTTACTCAGGTTGACTGTTTTACTATACGGGAATAATTACAAAACTTAGAGGCATACAACTTTGGAGATAGAAAGCCTTTGGAGAGAATTTAGCTCACGATACTTCCCATATTTATGCTGAATTTTTTTTGTTTATTTGTTTTTGTTTTTGTTTTTGTAGGATCTCTAGTGAATACCTGACTCAGAAAATTCTCTTCTTGAGTGAAGAGGAAAATGAGAATTAGGAAAAATAATTACATTTTTTATAATTTTTTAAAAAATTAAATTTTACCTAAACCTCACATGAAATAGATTGCTAATGCCCCTCAAATACTTAAAATGTAACTTCCTTAGGAAAACACTATCCTACAGCCTCATTGAACAGTCTAATTATTACCATTTTGACATATCTCAGGTCTTTGAAGGCTTAATTATTGGGCACAATTTACCTGGTCGATCAAAGCCAATATCTTGGCATATGAGCACAAGACAGAGGCAAAGTCACATTTCAAATGGAAAAAGCTACCCACAAATTATCTTCAGCACATATTCACTCTCACTCAGCAGCTCTGGAGTCTTCCACAAGCCTCCACATGTTCATACCCCCTATGAAGGCAGAATGGCAGAGTAGAAATGGCAGAGTTCCCAAAGTTAGAAATTGTCTTGGGTCCATCACTTTAAAGTATGTGACTTTATACAAGTTTCTTAATCACTTTGAGTCATTTTCCTTATCCATACACATTAATAATGCCTACCTCATTTAATTATTGTGAGGAATAAATAAGATGACCCCTATCAGCCAATGGCAAATTTTATCATTAGTAATAGTATCAGTATCCTTACTATATGCTACTTAATTTCCTTATCTGGATAGGAACGTTGGGTGGGTTCAGCTGTCATCAATACTATCCCTCCCCATAGCACTGGACATTTCTATTATTTGGGTACATGTGAAACAGAATAGCGGCTACCAGTTTGTAGTCAAGCAAGAAAGCCTTCAAAGCTTATCATGCAATCACAATAACAATAAAATACAGAGGACATTTACATTATAGTATCAAGTAGTGATCCCCAAATGAGGTAGATGGCAGCGTGGACACCATAATAATAAAAGACACTTAAATAGCATTTACTGTGTGGTAGGCATTGTTCCAAGTGCTTTATCCAAATTAACTCATTTAATCCTCCTGGCAATCGTGAGGATTTCATCCTGTTTTAACACATGAGGAAGCAGGAAGAAGTCACTCATTGAAGGTTCACGGCTAATAAGTGGTAGACCTTGGGGTTAGAACTCAGGCTGCCTGGCTCCCGAGTCTGCCCTATTACACTATTGCCTTTTCTTCAGAGGCACCAATGATGGGCCAGTGTTTTCTGTGTTAGAAGTTCTTTAGGACCATAGAAAAAAGATGATAATATGTGTACAAGTGATTTTATTTTCAATGATGATAGTTCCTGAAATATTTGTATTATTTGTACTAGGAAAAATTAAGGGAATCTGGTGCTCAGCCTCAGCAGACACTTCCTGCCTGTTCAGGCTGCTTCTGAACATGATGTGTGAACACCCGAGGTTAGTGTGAGCACTAAAGGAGCTAATCAGCATCACGAACTTAGCAGAGTGCCTGGTATTACACAATAGAACCATGTTTTCTTTAAAAACAATTAAAAATCAAGGAAGTCAAGTCAGAACAAAATAAATCTCCCCTACATAGAGAAGTATGAGAAAGACTAGCTAACAAGTCCTAAGTGCTCCTATAATGAGCGCTGCATATAAATCTGAATTCTCAGCAGTCTATGAAGAAGAGATGTATCCTCACAGTTTTATGGTTGGAGAAAATAAGTTGCAGATTCCAGTTTCAACCCCCAACCTACTGTAGTCCGAAACTTAGATTTGTTGTTTTCTCTCTTTCACAACTATTTTTAAAAGTTAAAATGTATGCAATACTTGCAACATGCAGTTATTTTTTAATTGAACTCTCACAACTCTGTGAAGTAATTTGTGCCATTATACATACTCACTGCCTTCCTGAGGTCACACTCTGCACCCCGCAACCCCCCAGCATTGATCCTTCTGGAAGTTTCACCAGTAGGATTCCAATATCTTCTCTAAGAGTAAAAGGCGGGGTGGGGAGTCGGGTGAGGTCCTATGGAAAATATCCCCACATTCAAGTCCACTGAAGACACTAAGACACCCTTATCATCAGTTCTCTAAAAGGATAGGGAAGTGGGATGAGAAGCTTCCACTCCCCCCCGTTTCTTCTCACCAGCATCCCTTCAGCTCTGTGCTATGAGGACTATTGTACCATGGTTCTGACCCTACAAGGCAGAAAAAGCAGAGGGAGATTGGCATCTCCTGTAAGGAGTGTACTTCCATTCCTGAGCAATTCTGATCCTTTTCCTTCTTATCCTACTAGTGAATGCTTTTGCTATTCACAATCAACAGAAAATGAATGGAGAAATATATTAAGTAAATATCATTATAACTAATTTTATTATTTAAAAGCATGGCTGATACCTAAAAGACTTACTTAACAGCTATAAAAGTTTAAAATCCATGTGTTCTGGACTACACATATAGTTTAAAATGTGATACATAGAAAGCCACTATAAAAACAAAAAGAAAAAAAAATGGTGTTCAGAAAAGAAATGTAGCTAGGATATAATAATGAGCTAATAAACTAAGCATATAATACCTTCCAACTCAATGCATTTAAACCATTTGCATTTTGCTCCTCTTTATTAAAAGGCAAATTATTCTAAGGCTTTCATATTCATTCAGTCATGACTTTTATTTGTTTTATTTTAAGCTCCCAGTGCATTTCATTTTAACACCTAGATATGACTTTAATTTAGTTATACAGCATTAAGCTAGGAGCCCAAGAATACCACCAGAAGTAAAATTATATCCAGATTCATGCTTGGTCTTTATCAGCCTGGCCTCAATAAGGGAAATCTGATGGGGCCTCCAAGGAAGGGATGAACTGCCCATATCCCCTCAAGCCTTATTACTTTGTGTTGGCTAGATAAAAATGAAAGCTTATATGATTCTTTACTCAGCACAGCCTGATATATTACTGTTTAATATTTTCTTAGAAATAAGATCTGAGAGCTATTCCCATGAAATCATGAACAAAATGTAACATGAACAAAAATACCCAAGAAATGAATTGCAATTACCAAATACGGTCCTAGCTGGAACTGATTCCTTATTTATCCAGAATGAAACTTGTGAAAGAATCACTGTCATAATGCATGGGATGTACGTCTGAATCATAAAATAACCCATCTTCCGTCTGAGGTGGAAGTAAACTGTCATAACAATATATTCACCTACAAATAAAGCATGAGGAAAACGTGTTATTGGTTCTACCACCAATTATCCAATGGCTTCATAATCATATTTCAGACTAACAAAAAGCATTCTAGGCAAAGAGTTATCTGTTGTGCATAGCAAACAAACATCGAGAAATATGTAGTTCCTAACCAGGGGAGAAATGATATTGAATATCATTATAGAATAATACATTTGTTCTATGTAGTAATTAAGCAATTTAATAAATTAAGCTATAGCTTTAAAGAAATTCTTACAGTGTTTTCTCTATTTCAAAGCTCTAGTGCTGTGGAAGCACTTTTCCTTCATTTTCAGCATCTTTTGAGAGAATTTTAGACCTAACTTTAATAGAAAATCACTAGAAAAATCAAAACACACACACACACACACACACACACACAAAGCTTAATTTTAGAAAAAAATTGAAATACACAGATAAACATTATATATACACATATACTTAGGGAGAGGCTGCCTTACTGCCTGAATTTTAGGAAAGAGCTATATTTCTAAATGTTATATATATGAAGACAAATAAAAAGAGACATATATAACATCCCTGAGTTCAAGCATGTTTTATTGGCATTTAGATTAAAACCTAAGAAGCTAATAGGAAAACAAACCACAAGATTTCTGGTAACTGTTGGTAAGTATTTTTAATGTTACATTTAACAGGAACATATTAAGAGAGCTACTTAGGAAGCAGTACTCTTATTCTCATATTATAAACCCAAGATTCAGAAGCCTCAAATCTCACTTGTTTGCAATCTCACTTGCAGGCTAGAAAATGAATATTTTCAAAAAATATTTCTCCATGGAAATATGTGTATGTAAGGAATAGTTTTAGAATAAGCAATAATCAGCCAAATTTTCCCATTAAATATGATAAAAACTATATCCAATGATCCTGCCATTCACACTCCAAAAGCAAATATAGACCAAGAATTGTCAATAATAATCATCCATCTACTCCTATGACAGCTTTAGTGTATACCCTTAATATATTTTGTAATTGAGCTTTATATTTTGATTTTACTTTGAAAAGAGGGAGAGGGTGGCACAACAAAATGGGGCAAGAAAAAAAATTGGGAGAAAGCATCAAAAAAAGAGGGAAATCCAGTTTCCAAAAATTAGTGGTCAGACTTCCTGTGTCAGAATCTGTTGAAAATAATTTTAATATATTTGATTACAGACTTTTGTTTCTGAATAAGAAAATCAATTCACATTTCATCAACTCAGAATTTACTTTAAACTAAAAATAAGATGATAAATTTAAAAAATCTGAACTATGATTTATGCATCAACTATTTCTAGAATCTTTTTATTGTCCCCTGAAAACACTCAATATTACCATGAAATAGCTAATGCCAAGTAATATATTGAATGTAATTGTTAAACATCTCACCCGTAATGGATTTGATAGTTTCACTTGATACGGTTTGCCCAACCAAGTCATATTGAACTAAGCTGGAGGACTCCTTTGGAACTTCTACTGATTTCTCAGGACCTTTGGTCCAGGTATAAATCATCTCACTCTTCGGATAAGCATCTGAACAAGAGCACAGAATGTGGTTAGAGTCAGTGCTCCTTTTGGTTATCATCGATGGTCAACACTTAAGAATGTTACACATGTTCAAGTAAGATGGAATACATGAAAATAATAATCATTATAATTTATTTAAACATGTTCCATTCAGAAAACTGTAGAGATTAAACAGCCTTGCATATTTCTTGTTTTTATGCCAAAGAGTTGGAGGAAGAGGGACTGAAATTAAAGTAACTAAAATGCTATGTATGCATCAATGCACTTGACTATGTTTCCATACAAACAGGATAAGCAGTTGAAACACAGAAATAATAACGCCCCCCCCAAAAAAAACAACCAACTGTGATACTGTTAGTTCTTTCCATCCCAACTCCCTTCCAGTGCTTGACCGATAATGACTTCTTTCATCCTCTAATAGGCAGCTCTGCCTATTAGAAACATACCAAATGCTACCTATAATAATACATCAACAAAAACAAAACCAAATCCCACTGATGGGCGAGCTCTCCTGGAGTAACCTATTCCAGACTCTGCCTTTGGGAAATACCCATACTGTTTGGGAATCATCGCAGTGACAACCAACGATGCTGTTTGTAAAGCTCCCCAGGGAATGTAATTATACCAGTTCCACTACCTTTAAACTCTTACAATCAGAACATTTTCCCTTTCACCTTCAACAAATCCTTCCCAGCAGCAACTTAAACTTCTTTTCTCTTATTCCATGTTTAATGCAAATGGAGACCAGCTGCTTGCTTACCAGTCTACCCAGAACAGATAGCTTGGCTCACACACAAATTAGCTCCAAAGAACCAAGAAAAACTGTACCACCCTCCACAAACCTTCCTAAAAATGCTAGAGTACAGTAAGTCCTCGGTGGGATTGTTTAATTCTACTAAAGGCAGATAATCCTTACAAATCACTTTGCAAAACAAACAGTGAGGCTTGTGTTGTCACTTAGTAGTATACAGTCACGTGTCAACATTGATCTCCTGAAGTATACTCATGTTTAGTCATACATTTAAAGCCCCTGAATACTATGTTCTGACCATGATATTTTAAATCAGGTATTCCTCTCTTGGCTAGCCTACATTGCAAGAATAATTTTTTTCTTAATGATTCAATATTTGAGGCTGGGGGTGGGAGTGGGCAAAATAGGTGAAGGTGATCAAAAGATGTGCCTCTCTTTAATTCCCAACCCCAAAACATCAACTTCCAAGGAGTGATTTCTTTATTTTGTACCAGCCCTGATTGAGCACCAACTATGTTCAAGCCACTCTAAAGAGTGCTTTCTATGAGAACTAGAGGGGGATGGGTGGGAAAGGTAAACTAGATAAGAACTATCTGGGGGAAATTTAAATTATTACAGGATAAATGGATTTTAATTTTGGCCCCGGTGAGATCATTTTTTTCTATGTATTTTTCTGTTTTTATCTTCTCTCATTAAGTCACTGGTCAGGGAGCAAACGACTCTCTTTAACTTCAACTCAGCCCACTGAATATTGTGCTCACTAGGGGTTATAAAAAGAATGGTGACTGCTGATTTTCATTAAGTTAAGCAATGAGCAATGATAACACCAGGCAACAGTTTCACAATCAGTGCGACTAAGAATCCGAAGCAATAGTAAAAGCCAGCATCTATTTTTGGTAGATTCTGATTAAATCAAATATTTGAGGCAGGCATTAGAAAAGGCAATCAAATTTTGCTGCCATCTCGTTGAAGGGAGTTTAGGGGAAAGCAGCTCCATATTCTTTCCTACCAATTCATTTCATCCTCTTGCCGTCACCTCCACAAACCATCCCAAACACACTGATCTCACACTTTCTCCTCCAGCACCGTTCCAGTCTAAGCCACCGCCATCTTTGATTTTACCAAAACAATAGCCCCCAACTCTTCTCTGCTTCTACTCTAGCCGTTCTACAATCCATTCTCCATAGAAAAGCTGAAGTGAAACTGTGAAATGTCAGGCCAAGAATACCACATCCTAAAACTTTCCAAAGGCTTCCTATAGCATTTAGAATAGAATCCAAACTCCTTAATGTGCTCTACGAGGTACTATTACCTGGCTCTGTCTACACATTGAACCACACCTCCTACTGTGCTTTTGTCATACTTCAGCCACTTTGAAACTAACAGTGCTGCTTATATTATTCTAACCTATCTCATGTCAAGAAGCCCTGAACCTTCTTGGGCCTTTTTTCAAGTCTGCCATAAAAGACTTTGCTAAATTACAAAAATTAAACAAAACAAAATAATTTATACTTGCTATGTTACACCACCAACACATGGAGTTCAGAGGTCCTTAAGTTTCACCTCTGACCACCAATCTATTCTTTAAGAGTCAGCCTACCTAGGCAATCTGTAGAAATAGGTTTTGGGTTTTTTAGAAAAACAGTGTTATTTTTACTTCTTTGTTTAAATATATTAGATAATAAACAGTCTCCTAAAAGTGAAATTTTGGACCATTATTGTCATGGACAATGATTTAATGTTGAATTATGGAAAAACATGCACATATGTAAATATCAGCTTACATGAGATAATCATAAATTCTAACATTTTTATTGTAACTTACAACTCCCAAATTTCAAAGGACACGCATGACCATCCATGGGGAAATCCACCAATCTCATGGGACACTCTGCACTTATGGTAAGTCTGTGACAGAAAAATACAATTAGAATCAACTCTTTCTCTAAAAATAAATTTATAGACCCACGAAGGAAGGAAGGAAGGAAGGAAGGAAGGAAGGAAGGAAGGAAGGAAGGAAGGGAGGGAGGGAGGGATGAAGGAAATTAAAAGGGAAGAAGGAAAAAGAAAAAAATGACTACCTCATTGTGTATAAAATAGTGCCATTTCTCATAATTCTAAAAAGCTTATTTGGAGCTGTCATATTATGTGAGACAGATTTCTTTCCATTCCTGAAGAAAGTATCAGGGGTCCATACTTTTGTTACCATCATATTGTTCAATCTCAAAATTTCAATGGGGCCATCATATTTCAGTCTTTTGTCAATCCATGTCTGTCTGAAGAACACATCCATTGTGTATTCCTAAGGAAATTAGTTTGTGACATACTCAAATCACAGATGACTACATGTAAATATGCAGAAAAATGCATTAAACTCTAGCCTGTTTCCCACTCATAAGAAAAGGACGACCCCAAATAAAAACTAAATTAATAGGAGCAGAAATTTTCTTAAGTGAACAGAAAAAAAAAGATTTTCAGCAATTAAAGCATGTCCATCTGGATACTTTCATCTTCTACATTTATTAGGCAAATAAATTATCATACATAGCAATCATTCAAAAATAATTACTATAATTTAATAAAACTGCCAGCACCAGGTAATCACAGTTGTACTTTACTTTAGACCAGGTAGCAAAATTAGTTAATGTATAGCAAATATCACTGCATAAAGAGTCATAAAATTGTAAGCCTCTCTTTAAGACAAAGTAAAATATGTGGAAAAATAAACTTCATGTTCATAAACTTTATTAAAATTACCCTAGGAGCCCAGAGTCAAGGAAAAAAGTAAAGTGGGTTATTGGACCTTGAAATGAAACATATTTAATATTAGAGAGCACAACTGAATGGATGAATTAAGCCTGACCAGTAGTTGGTGTTCTAAGTTCTTTAAACATGAGAGAGAGCAAAGGAGAGAAGGGGCGGATGGTGATGGGAAGTGAGCAATTGAGCCAACATGGAATACTAAATGCAATGATGACTACAATATAAAGTTTCGTACCAAAACTAATTACACTCTCTAATTTTCTCGTCTTCAATAAATTTTAAGGAAAAAAAAATACTACATTCGAGGCTGTGGTATAGAGACTAGTAATAGGAAAGTTCTTGTCTTTGTTGAGAATGACTCTAAGCCAGAAATTACTCAAATGTTAGAGCTCAAATGCAAATTCAATGCCTTATTCTTTATAAATTTTTGAGTCTAATTAGGCTGTTAGATGACTTTCTAGCTTTGTGTGATTGACAGCAAAATACATATTAATTACCCTCTTTTCTGTTTGTTTTTTTCAAATCTCAAAGGTACATTAAATTTTCCAAATACCTACCATTTCAACATCAGAAACAGGTCCAAAGCTGGTGACATATATGTCAGTTTTTACTTCTGTAACAGGACCTAATGGGTATGAAGTAAATAAGTGTGAAAAAATAATTACCAATTTCACAGGGAAGGTAGGTTTTGATAATTAAAAAGTAAATACAGCTATGGTATATCAATTTTTACAAGAATCTTAAATTTTCAGTGAGATAATTTAGCATCTCTACAAAAATATATATAGATAAAAGACCAATAAAACCAGAAACAGTGTTTACTTACAGGCAAAAAACAAAACAAAAAATACCCAATTACTTACCAGAAACCTTGTTTCTTCAAAGATATGTCACCCCCAGGCACTGTTAAGACAGGCAGTGCAGGGAACAAAAGCTTTTTAGCCTTTGTGCTTTTTTTTTTTTTTTATAGTCCATCATCTGTTTGGCCTTTAGTAAAGAAGTGAGCTGTTAAAAAGAAGGAACTTAGCCACAAGGTAAGGAGAAAAGCCATAATGGCTGCAAGGAATGCATTTTTGGAGAGTTGAGAATACTGGTAAATAGCTGAAGCACAAAAAGGATTCATGTCACCTTTAACAACAGGCAAACCATCCATTAGTGATTGGGATCAAAAACAAGCTCTCCTGTGAATCAGACCTAGGCATGCTCTGCCACCTACAAGCTGTGTGACCTTGGGCAAGTTACTTAACCTCTCAGTAGCAACAGCCATACATATAAGGCAAGACTGTTGATCGGATCAAATGAAAGGAAACTGCTCATCTAAGACTCTGGACACAGTGACTCCCTCATGGAAATACTTATTTAGCATTAGTTTCTCTTCGCTTCTTACAATGGCCAATACTGAGATTCTTTCCTAGGCCTAAATATGACTGGTGTGGGAACACATACATGGGTGTGTTTGGCAGAGAGAATAGTGGGAACATCATGACGATGGGCTGACACAGATTTTAGACAAAGGAAAATTGCCACCATCTGGACTTAGGAGGATGCTTAAAATCAAGAATTCTGGAATTCAAATTTATTTCTAACACTTTTTAATTATTTGATCTTGGTCAAGCCGTGTGTCCTCATAGGTAAAGGTTTTAATGAGTATTAATGGAAATAATATATGTAAATCATTTGTGCCAGTCTTTAAAACATAATGTGCTCAATAGTGATAATAGTTATTATATATAACGTAGAATTTTATTTCTAATAAAAATAAAGAATTGTTGCCCTTTTGAATAGCACTTCCTTAGACGATGGTTTATAACATTGTGTGGCTAGGGGCTAGATACTCCATACTGGAAAAAATAACATCTGCTATCAAGATGGACTATTTCCCTTGAATAATGGTTGGTCAATTGGATTTATGCCAAAAAAGACAAAGACCAGTTGGTATAGCTTAATACCCTCTGTCTAAAGTTATCCTCATAAAAATTGATCAGAATTTTTCTCCCTCTGTAGGATGAAAACTGAGCAACAGAAAGAAAAATGGTTTGAGGGAGAATGGGAAAATTCTTTCTTGAATAAGTATCCTAAGAAACATATCCTTTGGAAGTATAGTGAGAGAAAAAGCATAGATCAGGCTGATCTGTCAGGTGTTCTCATTTTTAAAAAAATAACACCTTTGGAAAACAAAGTAAGTATGAGGAGTTAATTCAGCTTTTATTTGAATGAGAAACCTGAAACAACAAAAATAGGGTAGTAATAAGCTCATGAAAGCCAATTTTTTTCCAGGAATAGATAGGTAATCCAGGAAGCAGGTAATGTGTGTTGAACATTAAATGGAGATTTTACTCCAAGTGGTTCAAAGGTGAGAGTAATCACTCTGCTAGTTTATTAAGGACTATTGTGCTATGTGTTCAAGTATTGCAAGTACTATGTCACATGGCAAGTCAGGACAAGAAGAGACAAGTTACTTAGAATAATTAAGGTTGAGTGTGCCTTCACAACTGGATTCTTTGACAAGATTCTTGAGAAATCAAAAGTTACTTTGAAGATCGATTTAGGACAGTGGTTCTCCAAATTTAACTGGATCAGAATCATCCAGAAGCTTTGTAAAAGCACAGATTGCTGGACCCCACCTCCAGACTTGCTGATTCAGAAGGTCCACAGTGGCGCCTGACTATTTGCATTTCTAACAAGTTCCTAGGTGATGGTGCTCATTTTATTCTAGTTTAAGACAGTGTTCATCTGTTTTTCTAGAACAGTATTTACCAAACTGGGTCCTATAAAATATTAATACCATACATGTTCCATGGGAGTGGGGAAAGTGTAGGAGAGGAAGGAATTAGGCCAATGATATTTTTCCTTATAACTGTATTTTAAGGTGCGTGGGTTTATGCTAATTCTTACAGATATAATGATTCCATGATAATAAAGTGTATTTTCAAATCTTACATAACATACTACTTTTTCAATGATTCTTGATATGTGGGATATGAAACTGAAAGCAACAAAGGAACAAGACAAACACATAAAGAAACAAAAACTCATAGACACAGACAACAGTTTAGTGGTTACCAGAGAGTAAGAGGGGAGAGGGTATAGAAGAGGGTAAACGGGGTCAATGATACGGTGATGGAAGGACAACTGACTCTGGGTGGTGAATACACAATGTGATATATAGATGATGTATTACAGAATAGTCCACTTGAAACCTATGTAATTTTACTAACCATTGTTACCCCAATCAATTTTAATTAAAAAAATACAAATAAATGATTCTTGAAAAATGTTTTGTGTTCAGAATTTCAACTTTTTCTTTTAGGCATTATTCAGTATTTGCTTTATATGACCTTATGGATTTTGAGATTGAGTGAGATCCTGAAAACACGACTGGTAAAGGGATTTCATTCTGACAATCATTCAATAAGCATTTACTGAGTAAGAATAAACATTTACTGTGTAGCAGGTTCCATGCTAGGCCCTGGTGCTCAAAGATAAACAAGACTCATGAGTGCCCTGCCTCATGACGTTAACATGCTACTGGAGGAGTCAGAGTCTAATAAAGAAATAAATTAGATGGAAGAATACTGTCATCCTTAAGAGGGACAAAATAGGCTGGCAATTGAGTGAGAGACTCTAGATTTTTTAGCCACTCTTAAAAGAAGTGACTTTTAAACTGAGACCTGGAGGATGAGCATAGGCCATTGGAAGAGCTGAGAAAACTGCATTCCAGGCATAGAGAACTTCAAGGTAAAAGTTCACAGTCAAGAAAGGCCTTAATGTGTTCAGAGGCTAGGAAAGAGGCTAGTGGTGCTGGAGCAAAGCAAGTGAGGAAGATAATGATAAGAAATGAAAGCCACATAGAAAGAATGAAAACCATGGTTAGTGGACAGAGACCTACCCCTGAGCTGATATTCTGAAAGTGTCATTTTTTAGCAACATATGTATATTAGATGTCATAGTGATGATTGTTAAAAGTACATGGAAAAGAACTTGTAGAAATACCAGTGACAGACAGGGTGATGCATGAAGTTGTTATGGGCTGAATTATGGTCCCCCCCAAATTTGTATGTTCAAGTTCCAACCCCCAGCACCACAGAATGTGACCTTATTTGGAGTTAGGGTCTTTAAAAAAGTAATTATATTAAAACTAGGTCACTAGGGTAGGCCTTAATCCAATATGTCCTTCCAAGAAGAGATTAGAGAGACATAAGAACATACAGAAGAAAGACCATGTGAAGACAAAGAGAGAAGAAGGCCATTTACAAACAAAAGAGGTAAGACTTAGAAGAAACCAACCCTGCTGGCCCCTTGATCTTGGACATCTAGCCTCCAGAATTGTGAAAAAAATACCCTTGCTGTTATTTAAGCTACCCAGTCTATGGCACTTTGTAATAGAAGCCCTAGCAAATGAATACAGAGGTTAATCATTTTTCCTATATTCTCTCCCCAAGTTTTTTTCCCTCTTATATTCAGCACAGCTCTGCCTCTGCATATAAGTTGTGGTAAGAAGCTTGATTTGTATCCCTTAATCATCAAGGGTTTGAAGTAAGGAAATTATATGATCTGCATTGTATTTTTTACAAAATCACTCTGGCAATTTATGGACAGCAAATTTTAGGGAGGCCAGAGGAAGAGAAAGGCTCTTATAAGAGGCTGCCATACTAGTCCACTTGAGAAATGATGGTGGGCTAGGGATGGAGCAGCGGGGACGGAGAGTGGAGAGGTCAAGAGGCATGTATGTGTGTTCTGCTCACAGGGAATGTTTTTTTCCAAAGAGCGATAAGCAGAGATAAAATAATTCTACTTATTGAAGGTCTACTATGTGCCAGGCGGGATACTAGGGTCTTTCTGTATGCTATTTCATGTAATCCTCACAACACCTCCCAAAGGTGATATTGTTATGAGAATTTGATGGATATGAAAACTGAGTTCACAGAGACTAAATATTATGTGCCAGACTCAGAATTATAACCCCCTTCTATTGGTGTTCTAGCTTTACTGTATTAATTATATCACTAAATAATAAATTGGTAATTAATTATGTATACATATATATATAATTTTATATCTAGTATACAACATGCCATACCTATATTTCCTGTTCTGTTCATGAGTAGTTTCTGAGCTATGTTCCTGCAGCTCTGTCTATGTTTTGCTCTTATGATTACAGCCTGCTTGAGTCTTCCTCCCCTTAACAACAAAGACGAAATCTTAATCCTCTTTGAAGTACCCAGATGGCATAGAGCTTTGCACATACTAGGTGGTGAATAATTGTGCGTTTGATCATGTTCCTAATATCATCCCAGTGATGATATAAAAACCTCCCAAAAGGACACATCACTGGGAGTCATTTGTTGCATCAGTTAAGCTAAAAATATTTCCTGATTAAAGCAGAAACTGTGTCTTATTTATATTTTTATCCTCTTTCATAACGAATCCCAGGCCTTAAATGTAATAAGTTTCCAATAAATCACTTTTCAAAGAATGGTCGCTATGCAATTGAGAATAATTCTTAGAGATGCTTCTTCTAACACTACTGTCTAGGATGTTCAAATCAACCTTACTAAGAGCATAATTACATAGAAACCAGGTAATTTTGAGCTTGGAAGAACTTCCTGTCATAATTTTATATGC